GCGTCAGCAGCCGGTGCAGCCGGCCGCACTCAAGATGGGCACCGCGGGCAAGGTGAGAGCCCCGCGCAGGGCAACACGCTGCCCCTTCCCCGGGGGCTCGGAAGGGCCCCTGGGTTCAGTGGGAGCATCAGCGCTGTAAAAGCCCCACGTCAGTCCTAGCTCGTCTCCTGGATCCCCTTGTGCACAAGCCGCCGTCCGCGGCTTTGGTCCGACGGCCAAGCAGGATTTCTGGGCCTAAATCCCTCCCCCCAGACATTGCTAAGTGAGGCTTCCTCGGGAACAGTTTAATAAATCGCCGTACCACTAGCTGGCTACAGTCCGTGTTGCCATCCCGTCCGCTGCTCGGGCCCAAGGAACAGCTGGGCAGAGGCGAGAAACTTGAACTTTGAAGGGCGGTTTCTGGCAGGAGCTTGATTGCTCAGAAACTTTGAGTACCCTTAAAAGCAGTGGGTAGAAATACCCAACTTCTGGCTTGGGCGAGGGAGGGAGGGGGGTCAGGAATGCACATTCCAACATGAGTAAATGGGAGTCTGATAAGCCAGAAAACAAACCCTGGTGTTACAGAAAAAAAGTATTTCTACTGTACTGTACTTTTCTGTAGTAACTGTGTGGCTACGTCTAGACTGGCATGATTTTCATTCAGCAAATACTTTTAACGGAAAAGTTTTCCATTAAAAGCATTTGCGGAAAAGAGCATCTAGATTAGCACGGACGCTTTTCCGCAAAAGCACTTTTTGCGGAAAAGTGTCTGTGCCAATCTAGACAAGCTTTTCCTCAAAAAAGCCCTGATCGCCATTCACGATCCAGGCTTTTTTGCGCAAAACAAATCTGAGCTGTCTACACTGGCCCTTTTGCGCAAAAGCTTTGCGCAAAAGGACTTTTGCCCGAATGGGAGCAGCATGGTATTTCCGCAAGAAGCACTGATTTCAGACGGTAGGAAGTCAGTGTTCTTGCGGAAATTCAAGCAGCCAGTGTAGACACCTGGTTTCCTGCTTTTGCGGAAAAAATTGCCAGTCTAGACACAGCCTGTGTGTGTGTGCACCTTAGTTTCCTTGGGCACTGCACCAGTGCCCAGAAAGGGATGGGAATTTTGGGTGTGACTCACTGAGGGAGAGCCCCAGCCCAACACATATAGCCAAGGAAGGGGGTGCAACCAGGTGACACCTTTTCCCCCAGGGAAGCTGGATAAAGGAGGAGGTGGGGCTGCCTACAGGGCTGGGACTGAGTTTGTCTCTGCTGGCTTAGGATACAGGGAGGAAGCCCAAGGCCCTGACACTAGGCCCAGGGCCAGCTTTAGGCTGATTCGGCCGATTCCCTGGAATGGGGGCCCTGCTCCTGGGTGCGCAGCGCATGTGCAGTGCTGCCCCAGGTATGTGATGCCCTGGGCGCATCGCCCATGCACAGTGCTGTCCCGGGTGCACGACGCATGCACGGGGCCCCAGGCGCACGGTGCACGCGCAGTACCGTCCTGGGCGCACAGGGCATGCGCAGTGCCCCAGGCGCATGTGCCATGCTTTCCTGGGCGCAAGGCGTATGCGCCGTACGACTCCGGGACCCTGTGCATGTGTGGCCCCCCTCCGGACTCGGGCTCCGCGCTTGCTAAAGCTGGCCCTGACTGGGCCCCATTCTCCCAAGATAGATTGCACTGGCTCCTGCTGGTTTCTGTGCTAGCAAGTCTGTTCTACACTGTATCCCTGTGAAGTAATAAACCTTCTGTTCTACCTGCTGGCCGAGAGTCACATCTGGCTGTAGCTAGGGGTACAGGGCCTGGGGACTCCCCACACTCTGGATTTCTAGAAGGGCAGTCTGTGGGAGCTGTAGATATTCTACATCTCTGAAAATAAGGCCTTGAGCCTTCAGCCTGGTATTTGTCTAATTGAATATAGGAGGAAGAATTCCCTAAATAATATTAGCTGTTTCTAAAGGGATTTGACTGCATTGGCCGTTGATGTTCATAAAATGTCTTTTGTTATAAAATGTACTTCTATGTATGTCGGTATTATAGTAGGGATTTTCAGTGTATTCACTTTGTATTTTTCACAGGTTATAAAATGCAAGGCTGCTATTGCCTGGGAAGCCAATAAACCAGTTTCTGTTGAGGAGGTAGAGGTTGCACCTCCAAAAGCACGTGAAGTTCGTGTTAAGGTACTACCCTCTCTTTCACAGTGTACTAGTTGATTGTTTTTGAACTTTTTGCTGGAACTTTAAGGGAACAAAATTTCACACCTTTTTTGCTCAATCATCTGGCTTCATAGCTGTTTGAAAAATGGGGAAAATATCTCAACTAGCTTCATTTTTGAGATTCTTTCTTGATGTTCCTCCTCTTGTTATTGTCAGGTGTCTGGCTAGCAACTGTCATTGTTGGACAAGAGACCAAAAATTGGGATGATGTTATCTAAGAATTTATGGATACTTCCCTTTTCTTGAGTGCAGGTTAGATTTTACTGTGGAACCTAGTCTAGAAATGTTATGCTAGTCTAGCTATGTAAATTAGGGGCGTGATCATAGAGAAGAAGCAGGGTTTGAGGTTGTTTTACCATTAGAATTATACCCATATAGAGTTGCTTTATAGCAATGTAGTTGATATTGGTTCCTGAACTAGAATTACTGTGTTGACACTAAAAGAGTGTTTGCAGTTTTAACTATACCACATACAGTTCTGGAATGAGAACTCAATTAGTGATCTGAAAGATCTCCTAGGGTTCCTTGTGCTAATATATTCTGAATGAAAGAAAATTCTCAATATGATTATCAATGTATGTTTTAAACATGGACAGAAGAGGCCCTGTTACAGAACTGTTCTCCAGTGTTGATGATTTGTCCTTTCATTTCCATACAGATAGTAGCCACAGGAATATGTCGCACGGATGACCATGTTCTCAAAGGTTCTTTACCAAATATAAATTACCCAGTTATTCCTGGCCATGAAGGTGCTGGGATTGTGGAGAGTATTGGAGAAGGAGTGACTTGTGTGAAACCAGGTATATTTAAATGATGTAGTGCTTTATCAGTGTGCATGTTCACTCGGGAGGAGGGACAGAAGGGGGGAACACTATCAGTATGGAACTGTATAAATAATGTATTGATAATACCAGAGGATGAGAATTTTCTGTGAATGACTGGAAAGCTATAATAGACATGAGACATATCCCCTCCTCCACCATTGCAGGAGACAAAGTCATCCCTCTGTGTCTTCCCCAGTGTGGGGAATGCAGTTCCTGTTTGAATCCTGACACCAACTGTTGCCTGAAGACACAGTAAGTTTGTGACAACGTCTCTGTTACATGAATCTCACCCTTAGTTATTCTGATAATATTTATCATCATACTTTGTGTTACTGACAAATCCAGATGTCTCTTACTAGCCTCTATGAATCACAGAACCTCATGCCGGACAACACCAGCCGATTCACATGCAAAGGGCAACGGATTTACCATTTCCTGTGGATCAGCACTTTCTCAGAGTACACAGTAATGCCTGATTCTGCCATTGCAAAAATTGATGATGATGCTCCTCTGGATAAAGTCTGTCTGTTTGGCTGTGGATTTTCCACTGGTTATGGTGCTGCCATTAATACTGCCAAGGTAAATGCATGTGCACTTGCACACATTTCTCAAGAGAAAATGGCACAATGACTTCCTTAGCATCTTATAGTCATATTATGTTTTATTGTTATGCAGGTTAAACCTGGTTCTACTTGTGCTGTCTTTGGATTGGGAGGAGTTGGCCTCTCTGTCGTCATGGGCTGTAAATCAGCCGGTGCTGCCAGGATCATTGGGATAGACATCAACAAAAATAAATTTGTGAAGGCTAAAGAGTTAGGTGCCACAGAATGCATAGACCCTCAGGACTTGAAGAAACCTGTTCAGGAGGTGCTGGTTGAGATGACTGACCATGGTGTGGACTATTCCTTTGAAGTCATTGGACGTGTAGATACTATGGTATGTGAGGTGTGCGTATGTTCTCTTTGCTCACAAATAAGTTTTACTCTATTTCTAGGTGATGTTGTTGTCTTATTTTACTTTTTACTCAGACAGCTGCCCTGGAATCCTGCCACATGGGTTCTGGCACCTGTGTAATGGTTGGAACACCTCCTGCAGGATCACGGATATCCTTTGACCCTATGTTGCTGTTTACTGGACGTACCTGGAAAGGGAGTTTTATTGGAGGTAGGGAAATCACTGCCACCCGGGCAGAGTTTACAAAACCTGTTTATGCTTTTTTAAAATAATATAGTTCCAGAAAGAAAGCAGTACTGTTTTGGTTTTCAGGTTGGAAGACTAAGGATTCTATCCCCAAGTTAGTGTCTGGTTACATGGAGAAGAAGTTTAATCCAGATGTGCTAATAACCCACACTTTACCATTTGAAAAAATCAGTGAAGGGTTTGAATTGTTATGCTCAGGAAAGAGGTGAGATGTACGAGTTAGTGGAGTCATTTCATTGGTACAATATTGTTTAAGTAACTAACTGTTTTGTTTTGCGTTTCAGTATTCGCAGCATCCTTCTCTTTTAAGCTTCAGAGCAATGGTATTTCATCCCGTATCGACTCTTCTGTGATTTCTTTGCTATTAAGGATTATAAGCATAGCAAGAGTGATGGACTCTTTGATTTGATAAAGCATAATTTGCAAAAGAGCATCAGCTTTAATAACTGACACACCTTTTACAAGAAAGCAATCCTCCAACCAGGATTTAAAGTTCAGGAAGATACAGAGAGGCCTTACCTGCATAGACTCCAGCTACGCAATTAAGAGTGTATCTTAAATTATGTTTCTGTGCTGTCGGAGGGGGGTGTGCGTACGGCAACCTGTGCATGTTGTGCAGAGACAGAAAGGAATATAACAGGTTCTGTCTCAGCTCTGGGGTGGGGACAGGTAGGTGCTCAGAAGGGACGAGCCCTTCAAATCCGGCATAGTGAGGGAATAAATAAATTCTTTTTTTCCCCACACCATTAGTCATTTCTTTTGCAAGCTGAAATTTCCAAAAATTCAAAGTGTGGGCATACCATCGCTTTATATAGTGGCAATATAATATTTTGTCTTATTACCAATGCCTTTCCTAGTGATTCCTGGAAAAGGACAACCAGTATGGTTTGACACGGTTTGTCCTTTACAAATCCAGTCTGATAGGATAACAGGAACGCGGTAGATGGGTTCAGTTTGCAGATAGGTCAGAATGATCTTTAAGAGTGTTGTGAGCAAGTCACCTGAGTAGGCCTCAATTGGACTATTGTGTCTTCAAGAAAAATGTGGTGAAATTGGAGAGGATCCAGAGAACAGCAACAACAATTAAGAACCAAACTTGACCAAGGCTGTATCAGCCATAGTGAAGTTTGGTGGGAGGGCGGGGGAGGAGAAGAGGAGCAATGGCATAGCCAAATCACTCCACCCCCTTCATGAATTGGGTCTTCTAAGACTGAGGCCATTTGATAACTATGTTCCCACCACTTCCTGACTCCATCAAGAAAGTAACACCCAAATATTTTGTAGGTAAAATAAATTCACAGTCTTTGAAAAATAGCATAGCACAACCTACTATTTTGTAGGAAATTATGTCCAAGAATCCTACTGTTTGGTTTTGTGCCTTTATTTAGGGGCGTGGGCACACGGCAGGGGGCTGCCACACCATGTGCTTATTAGACAAGAGCAGGGTATAAACTGTTCAGGAAGAACTGGTGGGGGAGAAAAGGAGGAGGAGTTGCATTATATGTAAGAGAGCAGTATGATTGCTTAGAGCTCCAGTTTTTAGAGGGCGAAAAGACTGTTAAGAGTCTATGTGTTAAGTTTAGAGGTGGAAGCAACAGGGGGGATGTTGTGGTTGGCGTCTGCTGTAGACCACCGGATCAGGTGGATGAGGTAGACGAGGTTTTCTTCAGACAACTGAGAGAAGCTTCCAGATCGCAGGCCCAGGTTCTCATGGAGGACTTTAATCACCCTGACGGGAGACCAATACAGCAATACACAGACAATCCAGGAAGTTGTTGGAGAATATTGGAGATCACTTCTTGGTATAAGTGCTGAAGGAACCAACCAGGGGCCATGCCCAGCTTGACCTACTGCTCACAAACAGGGAGGAACTAGTAGGGGAAGTAAAACTGGGTTACAACCGGGAAAGCAGTGATCATGAGAGGGTAGATTTCAGGATCCTGACCAAAGGAAGAAAGAAGAGTAGCAAACCACCCCCCCCTGAACTTCAGAAAAGCAGACTTTGACTCTCTCAGAGAACTGATGGGCAGGATTCTCTGGGATGCTTACATGAAGGGGAAAGGAGTCCAGGAGAGCTGACAGTATATTAAAGAAGCCTTATTAAAGGCCTAGGAAGAAACCATCCCGCTGTATAGCAAAAAAGGCAAATATGGTAGGCGACCAGATTGGCTTACAAGAAGTGGAAACTTGGACGGATGACTAGGGAGGAGTATAAATATATTGCTTGAGAATTCAAGGGAGTTATCAGGAAGGCAAAAACGCAATTGGAATTGGAGCTAGCAAGTGATGTGAAGGATAACAACGGTGTCTACAGGCAGGTTAGCAATAAGAGGGTGGTCAGAGAGGGTGTGGGGCACTTACTGGATGAAAGAGGTAACCTAGTGACGGATGATGTGGGAAAAGCTGAAGCATGCAATGCTTGCTTTGCCTCTGTCTTCACAGACAAGGTCAGCTCCCAGACAAATACTGCATTGTCTAGTGTATGGGAAGCCCTTGGCGGGGAAAGAACACGTTAGGAACTATTTAGAAAAGCTAACACACAAATCCATGGGCCCAGATTTAATGCGTCCAAGGGTAGTGAGGGATTTGGCAAATGTCATTGCGGAGCCTTTGGCCATTATCTTTGAAAAATTCGTGGCGAGCGGAAGAGTTCCTAGATGACTGGAAAAAGACAAATGTAGTGCCCATATTTTAAAAAGGGAAGGACGACAATCCAGGGAACTACAGACCAGTCAGCCTTACCTCAGATTCTGGAAAAGTCATGGAGGGGATCCTCAAGGAATCCATTTTGAAGCACTTGGAAGAGGGGAAAGTGATCAGGAAGAGTCAGCATGGATTCACAAAGAGCAAGTCGTGCCTGACCAATCTGATTAGCTTCTATGATGAGGTAACTGGCTCTGTGGATACGGAAAAGTCGGTGGATGAGATATACCTTGAGTTTAGCAAAGCTTTTGATACGGTCTCCCATAATATTCTTGCCAGCAAGTTAAGGGAATATGGATTGCATAAATTGACTGTAAGATGGATAGAAAGATGGCTAGACTGTCGGGCCCCACGGGCCAATGTCAGGTTGGCGGTCGGTTTCTAGCGGAGTGTCCCAAGGATCTGTTCTAGGACTAGTATATAATTTTTTAAATGGGAATTCCATCAAGTGTATTTTTTCTTCATTGTTATAAACTCGTAACATTTGCTACGCTTTAACAAAAAAGAACTATAGTTAATTTGGTTTCCAGTGGTGTTCCTGTAAGCAGTGCACTTGTGCAGCCACTCAGGAGAAATTCAAATGACACCTGGCTGATTAGCATCTAGGTTTTGTTTCTACTGGTTGTGTACATTCGCGCATGCCTTGGTGCACACAAAAAATGTATTCTGCACATGGATGGGACAGATTAGAGCAGTGTTTCCCAATTTTATTTGGCCGAGGAACCCTTTTCAGCTTTTTAAGGAACCCCAGAGGTGTGGGGTGGGAATGAGGGATTTGGGTGTGGGAAGGGGTGAGAAGTACAAGCTCCGGGCGGGAATTTGGATGCAGGAGAAGGGGCCGTTGGCTGGGGAGTATTGGGTTCAGGTGGAAGGTTGGGGTGCTGAGCAAGCCATGGGCTTGTGGATGTGAGGGGGTAGGAGTTTGGGCTGGATCTGTGAGGGACTCAGGGCAAGAAGGTTGAGTATGATGAGTTCAGGACATAGATTTGTAATGTGTGGAGGGTGCAGGACAGGAGTGTTGTGGCAGAAGACTGAGGATGTGGGGATGCAAGAGTTTGGGGATGTAAGAGGCTCAGGACAGGGGGTTCCAGTGTATGATAGGCTCAGATTTGGGGTCAGGTGGTGCAGGAGTGTTATGATGCTGCAGTGAAATGGGGGTTTGGTCCCAATTGGGGGCTTGTTGGCCTGGCTTCATTTTTAAATAAAATATGTCATACTCAAAAGGTTTTAGCATTGTCTTTATATACGAGAGGAGTGAGGAACCTGTTTTGAGTCAAAGGTCACTGACCCACAGAAAAGTCAGTTGGTGCCACACGAGATGCAAAAAACAACAACACTCCTCCAAAACCCCTCAAGCCTCACTAATGTAGCCCTGATTGTGCTGGTGGGGGCAGGAGACAGGGTGACACTGGGTGCCAGGGCAGGGGACAGGGTACTTGTGGGGGGTCTGGGCAGGTGACAGGGGCAGCTGGGACCAGTACCTGGCGGACATGGTCCTGCTGGGCACTAGGGTGACGGGCAGGGTGCTGCTGGGTGCTAGCGTGGATGGCAGGGTGCTGGGGCCAGAGCCAGGGTGGTGCTGAGTACGGGGGTGAGGCAAGGTGCTGGGGCCAGAGCGGTGCTTGGGTGGATGGCAGGGCTGCCAAGGAGCAGGATAGGGATGGGTGCAGGATCTGGGAAGGAGGTGGGAGATGGAAGGGGTCAAGGTCTGGGTGGTAGGTAGGGTGCAAAAGCAGGCTGGATGTAGGGTGTCTGGCCAGGGGGAGGGAGCAGGAGCAGATTAGGGGTGGGGTGTCTAGCTACGAGGGAGGGTGCAAGTAGGGGACTTGGGTAGGAGTTGGACCTCCGTGATCTGGCACCCTCTGGACCTGACTGGTCCCAGGTGAGGAATTTTTGGACAAGGGGAGGTCATTTCACAGCCGAGCTGAGCTGTGCTCCCCACTAGGCTTCTTTGCACCTCTATCCCCTGCAACCCAACTGAGCTGCCCACCCCTGCTGGTTCCCTGCACCTCCACCAAAACCATCCCCCACAATCCAAGGGAGAGCAGCACCAGTTCCCTGCAGCCCCTCACAGCCCAGCTGAGCTGCCCGTCTGTTCCGTATGCCCTCCCCCATCCACCTCAGCCCAGCTGAGCCCTGCACTGGTTCCCTGCATGCCTCCCCCACAGCACAGCTGAGCCCCGTTTCCCTAAACCTGCTGAGCCAAGAGCCAATTCCCTGCCCCTCCCTCCCCTTGAGTCTAGCCCCGGTTCCCAGCACCTCCTGCAGCCAAAGTGAGCTCTGAGCTCCAAACACACACCCCACCCCACCACCCAGCTCCCTAGACCTCCCCACTCTGCAACCTAGCTGAGCTCAATTGCCCTGCACCTTCCCCCAAACCATGCAGACATGCTGAGCCAGTGCTGATTCCCTGCCTCTGCCTCCCTCTCTCCCTCCCCTTGGCTGTGTCTACACTAGCATCATCTTGCACCAAAGCAGCCGCTCTTGTGCAAAAATTTGCTGCCTGTCTACGCTGGCCGTGTGTTCTTGCACAAGTACACTGACGTTTTCATGTATGAAATCAGGGCTTCTTGTGCAAGAACTATGATGCTCCCATTCAGGAATAAGCCCTTTTGCGCAACTATTCTTACGCAAAAGGCCAGTGTAGACAGGCAATATGAATTTCTTGCGCAAGAAAGCCCTAGGGCTAAAATGGCCATCGGCACTTTCTTGGGCAAGAGAGCGTCCACACTGCCGGAGATGCTCTTGTGCAAAAGCACAATTCGCACATGGCAGTGTGAATGTGTTCTTGCACAAGAACTCTTGTGCAAGAAACAACCAGTGTAGACATAGCCTAAGAGTTCCCTCACATGAGCAAAATGAATTTTGTGTTGTGCACCAGCACTGAGTTCATGTGGCTTGTTTGGATGTGCCACCCAAGTTTAATAATAAATATTTTTAAACCTCTACCTTTTCCCTCTGCTGCCATGTCTCCTCCCCTTGCTCCATCAGCTCCCTGGTGCCTGCTGCCTCCCCCACTCCTCTGCTGTCCTGACTCCTG